ATGAGATTTTCATCATGGATATGTGTAACTGTGTGATGCCATCAAGTCAATATGAACCAACATCTCTCAGCACGGATTCCAGGACGCTATTAGTGCCATGAAAAATTAAAGGGGGTTAAAGCAGTTACAGTATAGCAAGGTGTGCTTAATAAATTGGAAGGTGAGTGTAGGTGGTTCAGGTTTAGTATAATAAATCCATATTTCTACATAGTTTCAATTTTCATAGTATTTGGTACGATTACATTTGATTCAGTTTTATGTATACATCTCCAGTTCACTACAACAGTTGACTAAAGTGAGTTTATACTGGAGGATAAAGACAACAGGCACTTGGTGACTGTGGAGAGGAAAAACTCCATTTTAACAGGAAGAAATCAGCAGTATCAGGCTCAGGGAGGGGCAGCCACCTGCTGCAACTGGTTGAGGAAAATATTTGAAAGGGACAAAGTCTATGTCCCAGTCAGTTACATTATGAGGTAAGTGTTTATCACCCCAGGTAAAGTTAGTAAATTTAAGCTTGGGCTTCCAAAGGACTTGAAAGAATTCATCCAAGAATTTCCATTAGATGAACAGAAGAGGACCAGAAGATACTGAATCTGGTTGTTGACTGTTAGTCTCAGTAATAACTCACAAAGAATGAAAATCAATACTGATAAAATGCAAACAAGACTTTCAAGTTAGCTCTCAGAACTGTGCTTTTCTAGTTCATACAGTCACCACAGGTATGTAAAGGTCCAGGGTTTGAATCCCACAGTTTCCACCAGAATAATGATTCATGCGTGTGATATTTTACAAAGTGCTCGTTGACATTTGCGTGCCATCTGCTCGGACTGGCAAAGGTCAAAAGCTGAGTTGGTCCTCAGAGTATGCAAACTGAAACCTCTTGGTTTCAAGGTGTACTGGAGCTGCTGTAGAAGCAACAGGTTCTGACTGTGGCCAGCTAGCCACAAATAGGCCATGTGTGTCATTTTCACAACTAGTGAAGAAAGAGTTAAAATGTAGTCATGGTGAGATTCAGTTAGTTACTTTGTCGGGTTTTCTTCATACAAAGCAACAAAAAAAATGTTTGCTTTATATTTTTTCTACATCTCATCAGCTGTATATGTCTCATAATATGATTTATTTATTTTTATAACTACTCATTGTTATGTACACCTCTGTCTCCTGAAATATTTACCATCCATTTACTGAGCTGACTATCGTTCTTTTTAACCTGCTCTCTCCTCGCTGACTCACGCCTTGTGCTGATTGGTTGCAGGAAATCATGTTCATGCTGGTTGGCTCACCTCCATCAGCTCCAGCATTATTCCTCACTTGGTCTTTGCTGTCTTGTTTATCACTTTTGAGGTGAGCTCGGACTTACCAGTAGTACTATTTTCATTGATGGTTGTCAGTAATATTAGTTGGGGTCAGTGATGGGAATAACAAACAAATCGTGGCAGGATCAGCCTGATGTTATTTGTATCCCGCTGTAACTTTACTGTATAAAGAGCTAACATCTCCAAAATGTCAGGAGTAGTTAGTCATTACAAGGAGTGTTTGTGAACTAAAAATCAAGAATGTGGGATACTGTTTGTCCGTGATTTGAAGAGCCCAGCGCTGCTCCCGATGAAGGGAAACCAATTCTGCAGGGGAGACCTACCTCGGCACTTGTGCAGGTGAAGCCAAAGGGCAGATATGCTTCACCATATTTTCTAGTCTTTGGCTTAGAATGAAGTTGGTTTGGAAACAGCTATGCTTCATCTCCTGCTTTGCGTTTGTATTGGAGCCCCGTCAAAAAACCTGTCCATTATGCTAGCAGTGTCCAAGCACTGTTTTTGTTTTTTTTTTCCTTTTCATACCGCAGCCCCCTCCTGCAATGGTTCTGCGCGCCCTCTAGGGGGCGGGCCCCACACTTTGGGAAGGTCTGGTCTAGCACAACACCTGGAGCTAAGGGGGCAAAACAATCGCATGAGTGTTGCTGTATGACTGACAAAGAATAAAGTAGTCGTGGTAAGCCAATCACATGACCACTTAAAGACAAAGCAAGGTGACATATCCCAGTTTTTAAACTGTGTTGATAGGCCACGTAAAACCAGTCATGATAAACAATATATACACTGTGTTTTTTCCTCAATAGTTTCGTCACGTTTACTGTCTAAGGACAGTGCTAGCAAGCACTCTGTGCTTATGAGCAAAAAAACAACAACAAAAAAAACAAAACTGGGGAAGTTTTAGGAGTGACGGCGAGAGAGAGAGAGAGAGAGAGAGAGGAGTGGCACAAATAATTTGTGTGGCATCTTATTGAATGAAGAACAGCTGATTGTTCTGTAAATAGTTTGAAATGGTTATTTAAAAAAATCAAGGTAAAAGGTAAATGGGGGGTAGGTGGGAATAGATGGGAAGAACAGCACCAGTAACAGCAATTGGTAACCAACATTAACCACCTCATGAAGCCTTGACTTCAAACTCTCTGTTGTGATGTTTTGATCTATTGCCCCAGAATGAAAAACTGCCATGGAAGGAGAGCGGGGAGTTTTGGGGGTTTTAGTGAATGAACTGAAGCTTCTTTCCTCTGACAGGGGCAACATCAATGTTAGAAGTCAAAAATTAAATAAATTAAATAAAAAACAAGTCACTTCATTAATAAATATCTTATTATTTTTGTCAATTGTGTATAAAAAGGCGGCTGGGCAGTGTTTCAGGCTAAGGATATTACTTCCTTATATCAATGACACAGTATTGTTGTTAAGAATATTTTTAAGATTTCAAATGTTGCTGAAAATGAAAGCGAGCTGACATGATGTACCGTTTTTAATCTTTCAGTTTCCTCCTCAAATACCATGTCATGACTGCATCTGTTTCCTGGGGGCAGTTGTGGCTCAGGAAGAGGTTTAGTGGGTCGTTTATCAAATTACATGGCATGCATGGTAACGTATCCTTGCAGTGCGTGTGTGTTAAGACAAGGTGTTTTGGTTTAGAAGTCACTAAATGGGCATAATTGGGTGAATGTACTGAAAGCACTTTGAGTGTGCAATTAGTTAGAGAGGAAAAGCAGCAGTCTATTTACAATATGATTACATTATACTGTGAGACACTGTGTCTGTACATTTCTTTTTTGTTTTCTTTTTTTTTGCCTGTTTTGTTCGGTACTTTAGCAATCAGAATTATTGTCTGCTAAAAAAGATGCCCAGCGGATTTGTTTTTCCAAGTGGGTCATTATGGCTTTACATTGGTATATTGGTCCATTTGATTGATCTTTATTATTGTTTTTATTATTATTATTAATAATAATTTATTTATTTTAAGTTATTAGAGACTGGACAGACATGAATGGGGGATAGGAAAGGGAAAGAAAGAAAAATAGGGGGGAAGAGGGTCAGTGAGAGAAGACACTAAAAAATAATCCTCCGGATCACCTGTTGGAACAAAAAAGAAAACAAGCAAAAAGAGAACAACACAGCAGGGAGAGCAGCAACAACCAAGGTAAGTAGAGTAACAGTAAATAATAAATATTGAATGTTACTGAACAGCACACAAGACCGACGGTGCACAGTATGCTTTGAGGCAGCAGCCAAGGAAGATATAGTGTTTTTCTGTGAGCGCCCGTGTGTACACCTGCTGTCACAACCTCAAAAGGTTTCTCCATGCAACTATCTGCTAGAGGGTGTGGGGAGTCATAGCCCTGCCCCCCAGGGCATGAAGCAGGTATGGTGGAGATCCAGGCCCCAGACATCCAGAGGCCCCCTAGAGTGCGAGAGTCCAAGCAGAGATACGTGGGGGGTGGCCCTGCCGAGGGTGCCCCGACCAAGCCACGGGCGCCAGGATCCACCAACACATCGATGGATGAGGGCATCAGCCACCGCCAGGGAGTGTGGTGAGGGGAGATATAGGCCCCCACACCTGGGGGGGGTGGGGGGCTGAGATGTTCCCAGAGAGGTGGAGTCCAAGACCCGACCTGACATGTTTAAACCATGTTTAGCACAGCGGCTCAAATTTCATCTGAAATTACTGATCTTGATCTTGCTCTGTCTCTTATATTGTTGCCATCCTTTATCAGTGTCATCTTTGCAACATCAGTGATGTCTGTGCTGTAGTTTTGTGTAACTTCTCCCTCGTGTGGTTAACATTAGACATCACATGAGAATCACTGTGCGAAATCTGACAAGACACGCAAGTTGAAAACTATTGTAAGCCACAAAAAGCTTGAGACATTCAATAATCTGGATCAAAACATTGAGACTGTGGTTAAAAAAATGGGACAAAAGCTGCAAATTTAAAGCATCTAATGCACCAAAAGCTGGATTTCAAACACTTTAGGCAATCGTTTCCCTTTCTGGAGTTTGTGTAAGCATTTTTTAAAATGCTATATGGTGTGTCGTGGCTTTAAACCAGTGAAAATTAACACTAAAGAGGTCCTGCCGATGTGTTTCTGAGGTGAGAGGCCAAAACTGAGCTAGCATCCTGTGCCTGTGGTCGATGACTCAGTTCCTGAGAGCGAGGGAAACATGAGAGGGTGGAGATACATGCAGATCATATAGAGAATATGAGAGCGAGAACAGTGGGTTGAGATGTTCAGAAATAAGTGGGGAGGGAGGGATGGAGGGAGGGAGGGGATTTTAATACGATTTGGCCCGTACCACCGGGATAACAGGGCCAGAGCAGGGGCCTACTG